GGGAAGAAGAGAGAGGTGTCTTGGAACGGAGCTCGCTCTCTTGGTTCAGCTCCCAGAACCGATGGCGGCGAGGATTCAGCCCCGAGCCCCCTGTATCTTTACATTAATCACATTTTGTAACGTTACAGAAATGCGCAGCACCGGCGGAACGTCATGCTCGGGCACCCTGAGAAGCTTCTGTAAACCCACCTAGTTTGCAGCAGGTTTATTGTGCAAAGTTCCAGGTGGGGTGACCGGGTGGTAAATCAGCTGTCCCGGGTCTGGTTTATTGCTCTGAGGGGTTTTTAGGTGAACACGCAGGCAAATCCTCCCCGAGCAAGACAGCCTCACCCTGGCAAAGCAAATACACCTTGAGGCAAATCAAAGGCAGATTTCGCATTCTTCCAAATGCTTGCCTTTTGATGGAAATGGAGATTTAGAGCCTGCCTCTGCCTATGGCTGTTTACATGTCCTGCCCGTACGGAAGCTCAGAGTAGCGCAGCAAATCGTTCCTGGAAGTGGCTCCGCATCAGACATCAGGCTCCAAACCAAACCCATGGTTCACTCGGACACAGCTAAAAAACGCAAAACCACAGAGTCTCCAGAAGCTAACTGTTCTGTCTTGGAAATACATTGAATTAGCTTGTGAAAACTCACAGATATTGCTTAATCACTTCTTTAAAGTGACAGTCTGATGTAATAAAAGAACAATTGACACCACAAATACCGGCGACAGTCAGAGCAGAGAACTGTCATCCCCGGCTCGCAGCTGGAGCGTCCGTCCACCCTGGCGCAGCTCCCACGGAGGGAGGTCCTGCCCTCGATCAAAATAACTGTATTTCAAGGAACCAGCATGCTCTTTTGCAGGGAATTATGATTCCTCTGACTGTGTTAAAAACGTGTTTCCTGTCCCCCCATCTCTCTCTTCATTCGTGCACATTATTTATAAAGAAATGCAAACGCTTTCTTCCCTGGTTTAATACATCATGACATGCTCCTGAAAAAAAAAATCCTACACACGATCTATACATGTTATTAAATACGAAAAATGTACAGCAGTGAGTATGTCACTGTCATCTGTTGTTGCCCCCAGTTAGTTCCGGTATAACCCTTTTAGCTTCAAGAGAAACCAGATTATAACCTGTCTGTCAAGACTGAGGTTTATTTTACGCAACATGTAATATCTGAGCAACCGATGTCGTAATTATCGGAATGATTACCCTATCAGTCAGCAGCTCCTATGGCCAGAAGACCTTTACATCTTTTTGCTGATGATGTACTTTCTGAAGCAAAGACAAATGGCAATAACTAAGCCTCGTGCATCTGGGTGTAAGGGCACGTAAGTATTGCAGTACTCGGTGTGCACTGGACCAGTCCAGTGCAGGTCTACTAACTATCCAAAAAATGAAGACTCTATAAGTACTAAATTCTCTATCTCCTCTTTTATTTTTTTTTTATTTAGACTGCTGGAAAGAAATTATCTTTTGATTGAGACTCAGTTATTTCCCTCCTTGTTCCTTCCTGAAGGAAATCTTGATCGTAGGCGAGTGGGCATCACGAAGCTAATTGAAATTTTTAATTTCAGGTAGCCAAACCTCAGTAATGACCAGATCATCAGCTCTAGATCCAGGCTCCAGCATACATAGCACAAACGTGTTCAAACAAACATAACCCAGCAGGTTACACCTCAGTGTCGTGGATTAGGGCTGGGCCGGCCACTAAACGCTGACGGATGTTCTCTAACCCCCTGTTCCTCCCCAAATGGGAAGGAAAAGGAAATGAAGCAGAGAGACTTACAGCTTGGAGAAGAAAGAAGATTAAAACAGCTTTGAGGAGATAATAAAAATAGTGACTATATACATATATACAAAACTGACATCAAACCCTACTGCCCCTCTGCCCAGTCGCAATCTCCACTGATGCTGCAGAGCAGGCGGCACTGGGGAAGTCCCAGGCTCCGCAGCGACCTGGATTCAGGAACTCAGGATCAAAGACAGAAAATCAGACAGAGTCCTCCCTGGATGCCGGCCATTGAAGAAGAGAGGCCTGACCCCGTGACCTTTCCCGGCACCCCCAGCGTGGCACACAGGAGCCAGCAGTGACCTTGGGCACTGTAGGAATAAGTATCAGCAAGAGCCTGTCTGCATCCCAGTGCCAGGCAGTGACTCTAAACCTCAGGTGTTACCACTGCCAGGAGCACACACTGGCTGCAAGAACGTGCTGCTGACTTCAGAACCTGCAGCCTCTTAGAAGAGACCAAGCTGTGACGTAAAAGTCACTGAACAGAATTTGTCCTGTCTAGCTCAAACCAGGACACTCAACCAAAGCAGGCAACTCCACGCCTGAGCAGGCAGGAGTCACTGAGGGAGTCCAAGCTCAGTTAGGGCACAGCATCCCTTTTTTTTTCGTGTGTGTATGTGTATATGTATTTTTGTATTTTTTTTTGTATTCTTATATTTTTATATAAACATAAAAATATAAAGCGCCTATCACTGTATTGATGTGGAGTTCTCTTATGGTTTGATTGAGTCCCTGTGCCCATGTGGACTCACATTAGAAACCACTCAAGATGAATGTGTTGCTGGGAGATGAGCTGCACCAACAGATGGGTTACCTTGTAGTTTTGAGAACTGATAAGCATGGACAAACCGTAAGGTTTCCCCTCCTCCCTGGCTGTGTTTATATTTTGTTTCTTTTCCAAAACGGATGCGGGATTTACCCCTGGGCACGCACAGGGATGGGGCAGACAGCTGGTGATTCCCCGGCACGTGGCTTTAGGGAGCGCAGCCGCGCTGCCGCTGGGCCGAGACAAACAAAATTTTACAATGTAAAGATTTCTTAGATGGTCACGTAAGTGCGGTTCGCTGCTCGAGCATGTTGGAAGACTGTAACCTTTGTGCCTGTGACCAATTGGTACGTTACTCATAGCTGTTCCACCCACAGGCTTGGCACTGAACAGCACACCTTCATAAATACTGCGTGCTCGTTATCAGCCTGATAAAAGCCAGCGTGTGTTTGTACAGAGCTTTCCCTTACTTTTCATAGTGCAGAGCTGCTTCTTCCCCTTCCTTGCTCTTTGTGCTTCATCTTGCGGAGGAAGAAAGACATCTTGGAGACAACAGTTGACTTCACGGAAAAGAGGGAATTCCGCCTTTAGGAGCTTGCTGGAGATGGGCCTCCAGAGCACCAAGCACTCCAAAGCCAAGCAAGTTAATATACTCATGTTAGGGCTCGATTTTGCGGGAAAATCTACGCTGCTGTACAAGTTCAAGTGCGACGACGTTTTTCTAACAAGCCCAACAATCGGTTTCAATGTCGATATGATCGAAACGGGGACAGGTTTTACACTGACGCTTTGGGATGTTGGAGGACAACAGAAAATGAGACAGGCCTGGTGCAATTTCCTGGAAAACGCCGACGGACTGCTGTATGTTGTGGACAGTTCTGACAAGCGCCGCCTGGAAGAATCAAAGAAAGAATTTGAGCTCATTTTAAAAAATGAATTTATAAAAAGTGTGCCGGTCATCGTGCTAGCAAACAAGCAGGATTTGCCGGGAGCTTTGAACGCTGAGGAAGTGACCAGGAGACTCAAGATGAAGAAGTATTGCAGCGACAGAAATTGGTACGTACAACCCTGTTGTGCTGTCACAGGAGAAGGTTTGTCAGAGGCTCTCCAAAGACTAACCACGTTTGTGAAACAGTACGGCAGATCAAAAGGAACTTCTACAATCTTTAAGGAGATCGAAGCACTTTAAGAATTTCTATCATCAAATTCTGGCGAACGTTAATCAACATATTGTGTTGGACAGACTGAATCTGAAAATGCCGGATTCTGGAGAACTATAAATATTTATAAAGAAGTTTGAGGGTATTAAATTATACTGTTAGACTTGCAGATGTTTCCGAGATACTACTCTGCAGCATTTTATTAGTGATAGTATACTGGGGAATATTCAGCTCAGAAGTGTGGCTGCTGAATGACAGAAAAGGTGTTGAGCTGAATTTTATAAGCAAGTGGCAACAGAATAGGTGAGCGGTGCTTAAAATGCTCAAATCAAGTCATTTTAAGAGGTAAAATAGCCAAGTCATCCGTTCAGCAAGAAAAGTGAGAGATAAAATGTTGTTTCATAATAAATGTTCGGTGGATATATTTCTGCTGTAACAATATAGTCATTTTAGAGCTTAACTCTTAGTTATGGACAAGAGAACCTACGGATCTGAAATCCTTGTTGGATATGATTGCATTCCGGAACCGACTGCTCCGAGCAGATGTTAACAAACAGGATCCGTTCTTCATCCAGCCACGCACAGAGCTGAGATCCAGTGCTGCGCATCAGGCGTGGGACCAACGTCACAGATTTCCGTGAGCTGATTTCGTCCCTTCTGCACGGATGGATCGCTGTCCTTAGCCAGGAGCAGCGCAATGGAAGCCAGCGAAGCACCGATCCCTGTTGGTTTGGGGTGGGGGATAAAACGGGGAGGAACAGGGGGACTGGCTCCTTGGTTATTTTTTGTAGATCTTGGATGGATCCTGTCCTGCCTGTACTGAAGCCACATGAAATTTTGTTGCTGATAAATTCAGGTTCGATTAATTTCGCAGAAGTGGCACCAAATTGTTAATCCTATTGCTACAGTTTGCAGAAATCCTCTTGCTACAGTTTGTAGAAATCCTATTACTACAGTAATGCAGCAATAAATTGCAAATGAAATTTCTGTTCAGATTTTGTGATTGGCGACAGAGTGAGTTAGTATTCTGAATGCCATCCAAGTAGCAAAGGATTAGTAACTGGAAGACTAATTGAATTGTATCAGCTGTGAAAACAGTTTGAGCACTACGGCTGAAAAGTTAATAGGGCCCACTCTTTTAAAAGCAAGAGAAAAGAGCCTGTCTAATTATTGGTTATAGAGTTCCAGAAAATCCAGTGCAATTATTTCTCCCTTCCTGAGCCATGTCTGCAGAGGAAGGATGCTCCAGTGGTTGGGATGCTTGCTGTGCTAGCTGGGTTCATTTTTTTCCCTAGGCCTACCATAATCTTCGACTACAGGGAAGTGCCTCAGCAGTCCCTTGGCAAAATGAACTTCCCTAAGTCTGAAAAAGTTGTTGCAAAGGTCAGCCTGTGAGCCTGGCTCCTCTCACCTCATGATAATGCCAAGTAATTCACGTGAGAAATTTACCTTTCATTCTTACTAATAAACAGGCAGGAATTTCAAGTTATAGGAGGGTGAAGCAGCAAGAAAAGCACCAGACGTACCCTGTTGTCTCATGCATATATTATTCAAAGACACAAAACCCATCATCAGGTGAATTTGCTGAAATAGTAAAGCAAGGTTTCTCAAGAGAAGCTGTTAATAATACCGACAGTAATTACCAGGGGCTAAATGCTGAGTCATGTTAAGACTAAACAGTTCTAAGAGGAGAGCAGGTATTCAGATTCGTCATTACCTGGTCTGATGATTTAGGCTCAATACAAAATATCAACATCTGTCTCAAAAAAGATTTTTAAAAGTTTACAACAATGGGAACATTATTTTTCTAAACCCAATGATTGGATAATAAAAAAATGTGCTATTTCATTTATAAACACTTATAATGCATTTATAAACACTTGCATGCATGTTATATATTGAATCCTCCCACTTGTTTAATCTAATCATGTGTCTATTATAAATGTGAATCTAGTTCACTGGCCTCAGCACTTTCGTAGGGAGAAATACTCCTGCAGAGATGCAATGAGAGTGCACCAGGGTCTCTAGTTAGACCAGCAGCGAGTTCTGAAGGGAGAAATAAAGCAGTATAATAGAACAGCTCATATAGCTAAAAAAGATAATAAGCTTTAAAGCACACAGTCCCTTCTCCAGATTATCAAGTCAGACTAAATGATAATCACATTGATTCGAAGAAAATATTTTACATTATGCTTCAAAGGAAAGAAATGTTCTATTCCCTTCCCTTTACAGAATATCAAATATTTTAAAATTGATTTTTCTAAGAGCTTGGTTTCCTAAAGAAGTGAAGCCATGCCCATTTTGTCTGCCCATGGAGACCTCTAGCTTTTTTGAATAATTTGTAAACTTTAAAACAAACATCAATCAAGTTGGATAGGAGGTGCAGGTTCTCAAAGGAATTATATGCCTGAAAGTTTAATTAAAAAAAAATCAGTGAGATAGAGAAAAGTGACCATACTGGTGCCCCCAGTGAAGGCAAGGCTGATAAGGTACAAAAGCTTAATCCCTTGGGAGATAAATGTTCCATTTTAGCTGCAGGAGAGCCTACAAGAGGACATAAATCCACAGAGCCCACACTTAATTAGTTCCTTGGCTCCTGGAGCCGGTTGGTCTTTTTTCTACACTGCCTGTGTGTACTCAGAGGCTTCTTTAGGGTGAGGCGACAGAAGATATAGAGTCCACTGCTTAAAATTTCCTTCCTGCACCTGGAGTGAAGAACCTCCCCAACTGCTCAGCACATTTCGGGAAAGCATCCCTGGAAAAGCACGTTCAGGAGCAGGAAAGCGCAGGGGAAGTGGAGCTGCTGGCTGAGCTCTGCCTGTCCCCGCAGCATCAGGGCCTGCTGGCCTCTGCACGTACTTGCCCCAGGGCTCTGTCTGGTCACCGTTGAAGATCAGTTTGATATCCGATGCCGTCACGTGTTACGTGGCGAAATCAATAGCGAGGACTTTATGACGGCCTTTTACAACTCTGTCCTGCTGTCGAGGGTTTTACATCTTTTGACCGCTTGGCTGGATGATATGAGGAGCAGAACTGTCGTTACGTTTCAGAGCACAAAGTGAGATTCTACTTCTGTAAAAAATATAGTCCATGCTATCGTCAGCATAAGCTGGTCCTGCACAAGGTCTGTTTTATTTTATCATTTAGAATTTATATAAGTTACTCACTAAAGACAATTCCAGAATTTTCGAAGGGTTTGGGATGCTTTGAGAAAATGAGAAATCAGAGCACGAAGAGCGCTGCCCCGCTTGGCAGTGGAACCACAGCCTGAATTGGAGTTGAAAAGTTTGCATGGCATGAAAAGGCCCCTTCTCCCCCAGCTGTTTATATTTTTTTGGAACTTTTTTTCACTAATGTTCCAAATAAACCACACCCCCATCACCCTAGAGTTTCTTGCATTTTTTGTTGATGCATATGGGCAGTCTTGTGCAACTGCAAGGAAGTGGAAGAAGCATCACAGCTATAGTGTGGTTAGAGTGTACAAGTCCTCCGGTGTCTGATGATATTTCTTACACCAAGTTTGCTGTACATGTTTGGTTTTGCTGATAGAATAGTCATCCATGAAGAAATCAACGGTACGTGTCCGAAGTCATTAAAGGCAAAGGGTAGGATCTGGGAAACCTGGGGTGTGCTGTGTCCCGTGCCCTCTCCAGATTATCCACTGGGACGTGTTTGGATGTGCCGATCTAAAAGCTGACAAATCCAGAGTATGGGGAAATGTTCTTTTGGCCGTTCATTGATAAGATTATTGTGATATAAAACCATGATGAGCCTTCTGAGTTTTGAAATAGCTGCCACAGAGCTCAACAAACGTAGCTGCAGTGAGATGAAACGCTGTGTTAAGGGCAGGTGTGGAGCAGCCTAAGAACCCGTGGCCAACGCAGACAGTAACACTCCCTCCTCCTTTGCCTGGGAGACAGCTCTCCCAGCAATCAATACCCTGCAGAATCCGGGGGAAGCGCAGTGTGTCAGGAATGCAGGCCGAGGCTTTTCCGGCATCAGGTAATCCAGAGCTGGGCAGGCTGGAAATGTTCCTCTTGTGATCTCCTCCTCATTTCTGAGGCTGTCCTGGTTCGGGAGCCCCAGGATAAGATTCTCTGGGGCTCCTGGGGCAGGTGGCAATTGCAACAGGGGAGGGGGGGCAGGTCAGGTGACCCAAATGGACCAATCAGAGGGCTCCTTCCCATGGGACTCAGTATAAAAGGACGCCTGAGAGATGCTTTTGGGTTTTAGTGCTGCTGTGGTTGATGTTGGCTGTTCCTCATCTTCCCCCCGTGCCGCTGCTGTTCCTGCTTTCGTGCTGCAGAGGAGCTCCGTTCATCAGGCCAGGTCACCTTCTCCTGCCTCTCAGGGTGGGAGTGGTGTGGCTGGTCCAGGGCTTCCTTTTATGTTTCTTCTGGACTGTTGTCAGGGCTCTGGGCTCTGCTGCTGAGTCCAGTCTGGGTCTTTTCTGCTCAGTGCCCAGTTACCATCTGGAACGTGCAGGTTCTGTGTTAACATATTCTCTTGTGTATTTGAATATATTTGCATGCTTTTATATATATATATATCTATATCTGTATTTAGTTCAACATCTTCATTATTATTGTTAGTATTATCTTTGTTTGCATTAGACTGATTCAGGGGTTTTTTTTCCAAACTCTAAATCTCTCTCCTCATGTCCTCTGTTATCCTGCCCTGAGAAGGGGAATCACCGAGAGCCTCTGTTGAAGTTCAGTGGCTGGCCCAGCCCTAAACTTTGACACAAGTGAAGTGAGACATGTAGAAAGACTTTCATATATCAAACAAGTTCTAAGCCTACTGCAAGGGAAGGCAATACTTTGTAGTGCTGAATGCATATTAAACAGCTTAAAGCAGGATTTCTTCCCGAAGTAAATGACCCATGCTGAGTTCTGTGCTGCTACAATTAGACTTTTTCCACTTATAATTAGCTCAACTATTCCTGTTCAGCACAGGCATAAGGATTCTGGACATAAATCTCATCAGATCATGCCAGCTAGATTTTACAAGTGTCTGTAATTCAGGTTGT